TAATACACCTGAGCTATTGACTGAGCATTTATACTTAATAAGTTTCTGTGTGGTTATTTGGGAACTGGCTGGCAGGACAGTAAAATCTGCTTACATAGTTCCCTATGACTACAATTTTGTCTTCATTCTCAAGTCCCTCGTTCCACCATTATAAAGGGCTATAGCCAGGTTTCCTGTCCTGGAAGACTCCTCAACTTCACAGAAGAGAGAGGCTGCTCCTCACTGTGCGTGCTAATGAACACAGTCCCATCTGTTGAAAGTCAGACTCCTGTCTTTTGACATTGCCTCAGAAATCTAACACTAAGCAAGGTGTAAAAATTAGGTAGCATTTTTTTTACAGAATTGCAGAAGCATTCTCAAGGGTGAGCATGGCCATGTGACTAAAGGAGCCATTGTGGAAGAAAGCATTTTCACGAGGTGAGAGTGTGCGAACGGTCCTTCTGACGGTCGCAGGCAAAGCTCAGGAATGAAATCTGTAAACTGTTTTATTCAGAGAGCCTGCAACCAGAAAAACATCCTAATGATCTGTCTGCATCTGAGCTATAGCCATGGGTTATTGAGGTAGGGACAACAAAGACTGTCAGCACTCCAGACTTGTCCCTCAAGTCAGGGGTCAGTGTGGCCTCTGAGATTTAGGGAGCTGCTGCTTTCCTCCTTGGTCTCCTTTTGGTAGCAGGGAGGCTTTGTGACACCAGGGTCACCGAGTCTTGCATTCCTCACCAAACCAGACCTTTTGATGACATATAGATTGAAGGTCAACTTACAGCAAATGACCCATTAGCAGTGTGTACATAGAGACTCCTTTCCACAGGATGGAGAACACATGTGTAGAATAGACAGAGCCTGTCTTAGTTAAGGTCACTATTGTGCTGTGGGATAATGGTCTTTCATCTTGTCACTTGTATTATTTTTAATAAAATGTTGATTGGCTAGTAGCCAAGAAGGAAATATAGGCAGGACAATCAGGCAGAAAGTAAAGGTGGGGCAATGAGAACAGGAGAATTCTGGGAAGAGGACACATTCCACAGTCATGACTCAGCTGCAGAGGAAGCAAGAACCTTACCAAAAAAAAAAAAAAAGGTACCAAGCCACGTGGCTAACATAGACAAGAATAATGGGCTAGTTTAAGATGTAAGTATTAATTAATAAGAAAAGCCTGATCTACTAAGCTGATCAGTTTATGGTTAATGTAGACCTGTGTGTGTTTATTTGGGACTAAATGGCTGTGGGACCTGGTGGGACAGAAACCCTTTCAACATTGTTGTGATGAAACACCATGATCAAAGCAACTTGGTGAGGAATGGGTTTATTTCCATCATATTTCCATAAAACAGTACATCATCCTGCAGAGGGGGCAGGGGCTCAAACAGGCCAGGAGCCCGGAGGCAGGAGCTGTGGAGAGGTGCTGCTTACTGGCTTGCTCCCCATAGCTTGCTCAGTCTACTTTCTTATAGAACCCAAGCCCAGGGATGTGACCACCCACAATGGGCTGGGCACTCCTTATCAATCACTAATTAAGAAAGTGCCTTACAGATGGATCTTATGGAGGCATTTTCTCAACTGAGGTTCCCTCCTTTCAGACAGCTGTAGCTTGTGTCACACTGACCTAAGACCACACAATGCCCCTATCTCTGTGACTATCTAGTGGACCACTGTGTTGACCATATGTTGAGGGGTGAAGGTGAACAATGGCCAAAAGGACAATTGAGCCACTTACACGTTTAGGCAGGCTCTATGCTATTTTCTTAATTCTGTTGGAATATGCAGCTTTCCCAAAGGCTGTTCTACCACCCAGGAGGTTGATGGGCCCAGTTGGTTTGACTCTTAGAGTAAGGGAAAATGACATGTCCTTTTTCTTTACCAGAAAATCTCTATCTAGTTGGTCACACTAAAATTTTCCTAGCTGTTGAAAAGGCAAATCTCTCAAACCAACTCACATAATTTTTAATAAAATATCAAATAACAGTATAGATTTAAAAGAAGTAAAGGAAGAAAAAATAAATTTAACAGAAAATCAATTAAAAACGCTTGCTTTAGCAGGAAAAAATAGCCTTCCTTTATAATAGGCCTTCACAAAACCCAGCTACTCCTGCCTTCCTCTTCCTTTGTATTTTAAATCATAAGGAGAGGCAATTGCAATTTTCCCCCCTTCTTTAAAATAATATTAACAGAGCTAGAGGAGGGAGAAATGCAACCTCAGTGACCCTCAAGCTTGCTAAAAGCTGACTGGCCATCTAACCAGTTAGGAGAGACTCAAGAACTTCTGAGAGGCAGCTGTAAAGAAAGCCAACTTCCCTCAGGAAGAAAACACAGATCAAAGTGTCTTGAAAGAAAACATTTTGATTGTCAGGGGCTCTGAGAACTGAGTCCAGAGTGTCCTGAAATGGCAAATGAAGCCACTCCTCTGTTCTGCTCAAGAAAAACACTGCCCATCAGTTTATTTCTTCAGCGACTCTAGCTTGTGTGTAGAATGGGATGGAAGGCTGCACCTTTGTTAAAAGAGAAAATTAGAAGCGAGAGAGGCAGTCACTAAGGCATCCATGATCTCATTCACAGTTTTAATTGCATTAGTTAGCACGTGCTCCAAGGATTTGCAGGAAAGGAGACTGAACGGGATACACATCAGCCTTAGAGTAGAGAGAAATGAATTCTGGGCTAGGGTTCCTTCCCTGCTCATGATGATAAGTTTGCATCTCCTTCCAGACCCAGAAGAGCCCGGGAAGCAGTAGACCAGTGCTCAGAGTCCTCTAATGCCACACTCTCTGGAACGTATACACACTCCCACACACAGGATGAGTTGGCAACAATAACCAAAGCAGAGGAGACACAGGGAATCTGGATGGGTGTCTTCAAACTGCTTCCCTGATCCACTGAGGAAATCCCCAGATGGACCACAGCTCCAGTTAGGACTGCCTCTCAGAAGAAGGCAAGCGTGGAGGGGAAAGAAGGTGTCCTAATTATAGCACCAAGGCCCCAGTGTCCTAGAGTTTTGTAATAGGATCAGAAGAGAGGACAGGCGTTCTTAAAGCAAAGCAGAATGAGAGAGTTACCTTTGAAAGGCCAATGACACGTTCCATCAGTGTCTATAAGCATCTAGTCCCTTATTCCTTATTTCAGACAATGCCCAGTCTACAAGGAAGACAAAGTTGGGTTCGGAGACTCCATCCCACCCTGAACCACTGAGAATCAATTTTTCTATACCCTCCTTTCTCAGAATGGACCAGTACCCCCACCTTCCTTTTGGATCCCTGCTCTTTGCAGCCGTGTCTTATTACCCCTTGTCATCTTGAGCCCCTCATTCCATCACTGGAACACTAAACGAGTACCAGACCGCCCATTTGCAGCCCTGGTTCTACCATTTGCCTCCAGAGCAACCTTACTCAGATTCCTAAGCCTTTCTGTGCCTCACTTTCCCTATCTAAAACTGAGATGAGAATAATACCTTTTCGTGGGGCTGTTGTGAGGACTGACTGATTAAAATAGTTAGCAGCACTAGCAAATAGAAGTATTTACATATTTTATTACTAATGTGGCTATGTTTCATGTTTCTTCGAGGTACCATAAAGCTTTTGTCAATATGTTGGAAATAAAACATAGTAAAACTTCAAATAAAGGTTTTGTAAAATTATAAAATAAGGAGACAATCATAAATATGTATGCAATAGGATTTTATAAAAAAATATCTCTTACATTCAAAGAGACTGGAACTTTTTGGCCCTGATATCCAAGTTAATAATACACCTTGTTGTTATTTGAGACTTAGGCTAGTGTCCCACCATCTACCCAGCCTGTTTGTTTATTCTGCTTTCAAGAGAACAACGTAACAGCCAACCTTACTTGCCTTCAATTTCCTATGTAATTAGCTTTGATGGCTTACATTAATGCCTATCTTTAATCTTAATTTATATACTTTTCCATGCCCCTGACTCTGAGAGCAACGCAAATGTATTTACTTGTATATGTGTTATGGTAACAAATGAAAGCAACCTCACACAACAAACACCCTCCTTAAATGCTGAAAGCAACGCTGATAGATAGATAGGGCTTGGTAATGGTGTGTTTGCAGTCCTGAGTGCTTCAGGGTCAGCTGGAGTCAGCGACTTAATTCCTGATAAAATTGTTGAAGTTGTTTCTGTAAAAAAACACTCCCAATCCTTCTCCCTGTGATGCCTTCTGTATTGTGCAATAAATATAGAGCAAAGTCTTCTCTTAGGGCCACGGCAAGACAGGCAGTTAGCCACCAGGCAGGCAGAGACAGGGACACACAGTGGAGAGCCCATAGGCAAGCCAAAACCACACACTACAGACCCACAGAAGACACAGGAAGAGAAGTGAGTGATTTAAACTTGGTGAAACAACTCCAAAGGAGAGTTTCTGCTTTTCTTTCCTTAATGCCACGCAAACACAGTGTGGTACCTCCGAGGTTATCATCTATGCATTTAAAAGACACAACCAGGAATATCCCTAATAGTCAGGCAGCACAGAGGCCATTTAGGAAATCCAAACTTACTACAAGTGTTCACCCTTGCTCCACCTTGTTATCCAGCCTCACCTCATACTCTGCCTCTTGTGGGTAAGGCTGCCTCTTCCTCCCGGGCTTTAAAACCAGATTCAGAACTGCCCATGCACTGTTTTGAGGCTGTGGTGAACACATGTACCCCACAAGAGCAGTGTCTGTCCCCCACCTCCACCTCGGGCCAGAATCAGAAAAGAAGCAGGCTAAAGCAGATCTTTGATGTGGAGTTCTTATACCAACCCATAGGAACAGTATGGAAAAATTAAAATCTCAAGGGCTCCCACTTTTAAATTTTATCTGTAGAAGTCATTCTGGAATCTCACGGTGAAAATGGAGCAGAATCTTGGGCTTGGTGTAGAGGAGGAGAATTAGAAGCAAAACAACAAAAACTTCAGATCCCTCTGGTCTCCATAACATCGTCTTCCCTCAAGAGACCTGGCCTTTAAGCAAAAGTGGTAAACTCTAAAATCAACCAGAGTCTAACCTGGGCAAGCAAGTGTTCAGTATTAGCAGCCCCCAACCTTCAACATAGAGGTTAAGGGTGAGCTCTTCCAGGGTGATTTACCATCTACTTGGTGGCCTGGCTGACAGTGGCAGGGGGACCAGACTGCCTGAGCGGTTTTCCCGGGGTTATGAGTTGAGTCCCACGGAGTGACGATTAATTCTTTACTCAGCTCATAATATCTGAGAATGAAATAAGAAGTCATTCAGCTGTGAAAAACCTCAACACGCAAATGGAGTCATCAAACCTCCAAACCATGGAAAATAATTTAAAGCTTGTTGAAATAGGAGCGGCGGCGGGGCTGCGTCCCCGGCACCCGGCCGCCCGCATGGCTAGTTTATACCCAGAAATAATTACACGGAAACTGTATTCTTTCAAACACTGCCTGGCCCGGCTAGGTCCAGTTTCTTATTGGCTAGCTCTTACATATTGTTCTAACCCATTTCTAATATTCTGTGTAGCCCATGAGCTGGCTTACCAGAGAGGATCTTAACCTGCGTCTGTCTGGAGTGGGAGCATCATGGCAACTCTTCCACCAAGCCTCCTTCTCCCAGAATTCTCCTCTGTTTTCTCCACCCACCTAAGGGTGGGCCTTATCAAGGGGCCTAGGCAGTTTCTTTATTAATAAGAAATCACTCCCACATCATTTCCCCTTTTTCTGTTTAAACAAAAAAGAAAGGCTTTAACATAGTAAAATTACATATAACAAAACAGTTATCAAGTAAGAATTACAGTTACAATATTTCTTTTATCATAATTAAGGAAAACTATAACTATTCATTCTTCAATTCCATCAAAGACTCCAGAAGGATATAATATTACCTAAGTACACAAGAAATAAGAAAAGTCTAGAAATGACAGAGACATCTCGCTGCCTGGACAGTCACCCAAAGTTCTTTGGTACCGTTGGGGCATCCATCTTCGGCCTACAGGCCCATGGTATCCAGATACATTTCCATGAAGCAGGAAATTTCAAAGACAGTTCAGTCATTTTCTGCTGTGTCCTGCAGAATGTCTCGCAGACTCTTTCATGAATCAGGAACCCCGAAAGACCATCTCACCTTTAGGCAAGTTCAGCAGTCCTCTCTCTGAGGGTTCTCCGTGTCCAGTTTATGCAACAGTCCAGGCAAGAGCAGTTTCTTGCCCAAATGACTATCCAACTCCATAAGGATCCTCTTCGATGCCCATCTTCCTCTTGAAGTAGCTGGTGCTGCCAGGAGCAGACGTGTCTCCTTGTCATGAAAAGTCCTAAGTTATTAAAATATTTTAAATGCCATATTCTGCAGTCTTTGAAAGATATGAAGAATGCCAATCTAATTGAAATATATCTCTATATATCTAGAAAATCTAATTAACATGACTACAAGCTTAACTATTAGTGATGATTATCCATTAACAACCTATATTTCCTAATTATACATTACATTTTTAAATGAACTACACAATCACAATACCTTAATCAAGTCAACAAATACATATCCTTATAACAAAATTGACCATAAAATCCATACCAATGCAAATTATTCATATCTATATCATATCCCCCTTTAAATGTAAAAGAACATTTATAAACAATATTTGGGAACATGGGCGTAGTTTTTTCTTTCCAATCTGCTTCCTGCTGAATAGGGGCGTCGTTAATTAGGTCTTTTGTGGTATAACCTGTGTGCCAGGGTCATCTCGGTTGGCAGTTGAGTGAAGTAATTTTTTGAGGGTGTTCACAGCAACCTTTCAGGAGGGCGTGGTCTATCATACCAAATCGGAATAGATGCAATCCACAGGGTCTCATCCTCTGCAAAAACAAAAGAAGACCCTCTCCAAAGCATCATATCCTTAGACCCAAATTCTGAAATCATAATACCCTCATGAAATCCATTTTGGTTTAGCTTGGCAGCCCATATAATGAAATGTCTCTCTGTACTTAGCTCCTTCACAGTCAAAAACTTTAAAGAAAACACAATGTACATAATCCAGACTCTCTGTGAATTTTCCATTTTTACGTGGCTTATGTTTCTTTATTTCTTTTAATCTATAACTCTCTGTACTTCTGTACTCTGTCTCTTTAAAGACTTTACCCTTTTTCTTTTTAAGACATTAACTTTATTCTTTATATTCTTTTTCTTCTCTTTCCCAAGCCTACGTACATTTATCCAACAGTGTCTGAATCTGTTTTATTGTGAATCTGTAATTTTTTTACTATACAGGAGCATTTCTTAAAATGTTAAGCATTTCTTAAAAACTTAAGTTGCACCATTTACAGGTAATACGGTACTGCCTGTGTCCTGCCCAGTCTAAACCTTAACTGCACGGTTTTAAGGTAATTACGGTAGTTCCTGCCTGAGATCAGCACAGTTCAGCATGGAGCAGCCGCTCCTGCCTCAGAGTCATTTGGTGCCCCTGAACCATTCACAGTTTCAGGCACACAGCAAGTCCACATTGGAGCCGCATTCAGCAGTTTAACTCTGAGACTGAGTGTGCAGCACAGAAACTCTTTTCATCCAAGTTACAGCCAAATCTGACATGCAGAGCACTGCGCAGTCTGAAAATGTGTCTCTGTATAGTGGCAGGAATCCGCCATGCTCTTCCGCCTGCCTAAACTTGATTCTGCCTTCTGCCCAGGTGCAGGCGGGGCCATCGGCACGGTCTCAGAGCACTCTCCTCCGATCCCAAGCGGGAACACAAACATCCAGTCCCATAAAAGCCTTGAAATGCTTTAAAGCCAGAGTTCACGCTGGCAGTACAGCCCTATGAAGCCACGCTTTAAAATGACGCAGCTTTTTTTTTCTGCTGCTATTGCTGAATCAGGAAATCTCTTTATGGCACACCACCAACAAAACAGCAAAAATCTGTGTTAAACTCTCTCTCCCTTATTTTTAAGCCTTCTCAGGTTTTTAAGTGGATTTAGCCCATCACGTCTGGGCGCCATCTGTTGAAATAGAAGACAATGGCTTTTGCTGAGCTGTTTACCCTCTTTGAGCCTTGATATTTTGTCTGAAATACAAAAATAAGAATACATATTCCATTAGATTCAATGATATGTGTAGTAAATATGATTTAGATATGGACTAACTGGTGGCTTACTGGATAATATTACTTCAAGAAGGAAAGAATATCAAAAGTCTTTAAATAATGGCATTTGGATGAAAGAAAATATGGACTGAGGACTTACACATGAAGAGAGATGTTTAGACCAAGAAAGCATCTGTTTCTGTGGTTGGAGAGAAAAATACAAAACAAAACAAAAGAAAAAAAATGGATAACAAAATTGAGAGCACTTCATCTCAAATATTATACTTTATCTCCATGACTACATAGTCCCTATAAAAACCCATTGGCCAATGGTGCTCATCAAGGAAGGTTACTGAGTAGAAGCATCTAATCCAGGCTTGTCTCTGGAAGTTTGTCTTTCATGGGTCTTAGGTGGAGCTGATGATATTAAAACACACCAGATACAGCTACTGTAAATATGAATGGTGGTGTTAAAGCAAGGTACTTAAACCTCAGCCTCTGTGCATTTTTCTACTATGTGCTTCTGGGAGAGGACGCCAACCACCATTTGTCTAGACATTGTGGCTAAGCTGACCTGGCTTGGCCTTTGATGAATGGAGACAGCCACAGCCATAATGCATGAACTTAATTAACAGTAAACCACATTGAAAGCGAAGGAGGAAAGCTATAAAGAATAGAGACAGGCCATTCGGGGCCATTATGATGCAAGGCAGAAGAGATATCACATAGCCTGCTACTATACCCTTGACAAATGATCATGTCTTGCTTTTGCAGGCTCACCCTAAGCGTGAAAATGCAGCAAGAAACACAGTGGTACCCATAGGGCTCTTCCTGACATCAGATAGAGTGTTCAGTCTCTACAAAATGCAGCCAAGAACCCAGAGAACAAGCACTCTACCCAAGGAAGTCTTGGTGGGTGTTTTAAAGGGCTCTGAATGGTGACTTCCATGTAGAAGCTGAGACTTGTCCCCCACCCCCAAAGATCACTGAGGAGGTTCATGCTGGCATGCTGACCCAGACTTTTCCATTGGAGCTACTGATCTCTCCTGGGTCCATCCTCATAGGTCATCTTCACACTTTTTGCTATGTTCCGCTCTGTAGAGCTCCTTCCCTGGGCAGCCACAGGACCTCAGTTAGATTTTCCATTGCTGTTGAGAGAAGTCAACCCCCTTCCTTCTGGCTAACTCTTTATCAGAAAGTTTTTCTCTCCGTTTCCATTTTTAAAAATCCACGTGAAACCCTGTTCATGGGGAGGGACTACTTGCTCCCAGTGAACTTTAATTATTTGGGTGTCATTTGCATATACGAAGAACACGCCGAGAGAGATCCGTGAGGGCTACTGCTTCAGAGAACAATCCGGAGTGCTGATGACACGTTCTGAAGACAAAGAGGTGAGCGAGCAGGGGTGACGAACGCTGCTCAAAGTGGCGGCACAATTGTGCTATTTTTCTCTCCTTGTTCTTCTCTATCAGGCCCAGTATTAATAATACTGTCCTGTCCAATTTAGGTTACAGCCTGATGAATGTCATAAGGTTGTACGTGCTGAGATTTTCATTTCTTATGTGAGGTTTCTCTTACATTGTATCTATTATAATCCATGCTCCAAAGAAGCAGATAAACTTTTAGACTCACTTTTTTTTTCTTCCTTATTAAGATCCTGAGGTTTGGAAATGAATGTTCAAATTAAAATATTCAGAACTATGTTGAAAAATTACCCTGGCCTTGATATTTAAGGAAAAGAACAAACAATATTCTAAAAGGGAAATAGATGAATAAGGAAGATTGGATCAGGCATGAGTAGACTTGAATTGGAACCGAATTTATGCCATTGGAGGAGTTCCTTGGCCTCTTGGCCTCTATTTCCTTTCTGCACAATATATATCACTGGGTTAGCCAGCCTCCAAATCCAACTGGAGTTCTTGCATCTTGTGAATGGACCAAGGCTCTAGGGCTTTGGATCTACATGAGCCAGTGCAGAAAAGCCCCTGAGTTTCCTGTTGGTGCACTTGATGTCACCAAATGCCTCAAGTGTGTAGTAGAACAGTGACCTTGAGTGTAGACTTCAAAAGATGGGAAACCAATCCACGATTGAGTGCACCTTTCTGTTGGAGAAATCTGGGGAAACAGATGAGGCTGAAAGAGGGGGGCAGTATGTGTGGGGAGAGTGTGAGCATTAGTTCCCAGAAAGAGTGGAGAGAGATGTAATAAATGAGTCTCCATCTACTTTCCTGGAAGAAAGGACATTCCAGCAGAATGGTGGCCATTTGATAATACCAAAGACTTCCATTGTAAGAGGAAGCAGTTTTATCTCTGATATCACCAAAGCTCAGAAGGGCACACACATGAGGGAGAATCTACCAGGCTGGTCCATTTGTTCTAAGGGATAACTGAGTAAAATAGCTCAGTGCTGAACAAGGGTGTGAGTTAACCCATCCACCAGCCTTCTCTCTCTAGTGGCACTCAGGTATTCTACACATCATATTGGAAATCAAAGACCCGGATTTAGAGATCTACCAGGAATGGCTTGTAGCAAACAGGCCAGGCCACTACATGGTGGCAAGTACACGGCATAATTAGTCACCAGATGTCAGCGGGAGGTGATGGCTTTACGCCTCTTCTAATCTTAGGTCTGTGAAATACGAGGGTGCCTCTTGCCCTTCCTCCTAACTGAAAACTAAACATGAGAAAAACAAAACACTATTTCTTCTTCTGATGCAAGGTAAACACTCTTAGCAATAAGTGGACTAAGCAGTTGCTTATTTGGAAAGAATCATAATGGCTAAGTGAACCCTCTTACCAATGAGCATACAATGATCGCTATCATTTGTAGCCATCTTAAATGCTTCCGTTCCCTGCATTATTTCCTTAAGCTATGCTAACCAGATCTGAAGCGTAACAAGCACTCTTGAGTTTTTCTTTAAGGATGGAACAATTGAGAGGTGCGACAAGACATTATTTAGAATCTGTATTACTTGGAACAGCCCTTTAGACTTCTGTCATCAAGCAACCTTTTTTTTTTTTTAATTTTATTGAGAATAAGAAAAAAAAGTTTCCGCCTCCTCCCAGCCTCCCATTTCCCTCCCCCACTCTTCTCCCCCTCCCCCCTCTCTCCTCCCCCTCCCCCCACTCCTCTCCCCCTCCCTCTCCTATCCAAAGAGCAGTCATGGTTCCCTGTCCTGTGGAAAGTCCAAGGTCCTCCCCCCTCCCTCCATGTCTAGGAAGGTTAACATCCAAACTGGCTAGGCTCCCACCAAGCCAGAACATGAAGTAGGATCAAAACCCCTTGCCATTGACCTTGGCTTCTCATCAGTCCTCATTGTTCGCCATGATCAGAGAGTCCGGTTTTATCCCATGCTGTTCCAGTCACAGTCCAGCTGGCTTTGGTGAGCTCCCAATAGATCAGCCCCACTGTCTCAGTGGGTGGGTGCACCCCCCGTGGTCCTGACATCCTTGCTCGTGTTCTCCCTCCATCTGCTTCTCATTGGGACCTTGGGAGCTCAGTCCAGTGCTCCAGTGTGGGTCTCTGTCTCTATCTCCATCCATCACCAGATGAAGGTTCTATGGTGATATGAAAGATATTCGTCAGTAATGCTATAGGATAGGGTCAGTTCAGGTTCCCTATCCTCAGCTTCCCAAGGGACTAACTGGGGACATCGCCTTGGGCTCCTGGGAGCCACTCTAGGTTCAAGTCTCTTGCCAACACTAAGGTGGCTCTTTTAACTAAGATATGTGCTTCCCTGCTCCCCTATCCAACCTTCCTTTATCCCAATCTTCCTGTTTCCCCAAGTTCCCCCAATCCTCCCCTTCTTACTTTTCTCTCCCTGTCCCCCCTTATCCCCAACCCACCCCACCCCCAAGATCCCAATTTTGTCCCCGGCAATTTTATCTACTTCCCTTAGCCAAGAGGATAACTATATGTTTTTTCTTGGGTTCACCTTCTTCTTTAGCTTCTTTAGGTTCACCAGGTATACACTCCGTGACCTTTATTTATGGCTAGAAACCAATTATGAGTGAATACATCCCATGTTCATCTTTTTGGGTCTGGGTTACCTCGCTCAGGATAGTGTTTTCTATTTCCATCCATTTGCATGCAAAATTCGAGAAGTCATTGTTTTTTACCGCAGCATAATACTCTAATGTGTATATATTCCACACTTTCTTCATCCATTCTTCCATTCATCAAGCAACCTTTATGCGGAAAATACATTTCACAAGCCTAATGTCAGTCATGCCGAAAGACCTTTACTTCCTAATACTAAAGTCATTCAGGTCCACAGCCTTGTCACATCCTAGGCCGTTCACCTACATGACCACATTCTTCTCCCATTCAGTCACATTCCCCAAACCTGATGTTGGGTCTTGCCATCTGCTGCTCTCTCCAGCCATCAGTACCTTTTGCCTCCTCTCCCCAGTTGAGCTAACATGACCCAACATTTGGCTTATCCTATCTGGTTATTTTAACTTCAGGACAGTGGCTGCGCCTTAATCTATCGCCATCTAAGTCACCTATGGTAGCTCTGTAGTTACCCGTCAGCTTCACTAGAAATTGTCTATCCACTCAGGCTGCAGCCTGGAGAGAATTCTTCTCTTGTAGGTACTGGCCCTGTCATTGCTGCTAAAGGTAGTTTTCACTAAATCTCTGTCATTCTAATTATGAATAAGACTTGAGATTCAAAGGCTGGGGTGAAAACTTGCTAGCTCAGAGAGGCTGAGTAGCAACTGGCTAACCCTTTCTCCTCGCTGGGGTCTGTGGAAGACCTGTGCTTCTACTTGGCCAAACCAGAAAATACTGTACCATTCCAACCCCACCCTACTACTTTCTGTGTCTCTCTGTCTCTCCTGAATGCCCTCTGAGACTCTGATTACTTTCTGTCAACTAATTACTAATGTGGCTTCCTGATCCAAGGTTAATTTTATTTAATTAACTCAAATGCAAACTTGGGGTTCACAGTACTGTCAAATATCCCTCAACAGCTCATCCTAACTTTCATCTATTTCATACCAGTTGCTGAATATTGTTTGAAAATCTCTCTCCCTCCCTCCCTCCCTCCTCCTCTCTTTTCCCTCCCAGTCTCCCTCCCTTTCTCTCTGTCTCTCTATCTCTCTTTCTGTGTGTCTCTCTCCCTCCCTCCTAAACTACTTCCTTCCCCCTCTTTCTGTCTGTCTGTCTCTCTCTCTCACACACACACACAAACACACACACACAGATGTCCAAGCAGCTGTGCGTTTATGTCTTTAATCTAGCATAACACCCCCCCCACACACACGCACACATGCAATGTCCACATTACACGCTTGTGCCTTCACTCTCAATGAACTTTCCCATATTGGCCACATCTCTCCATCTTTGCAGTGTCTATTTGAAATTCCATTCATTCTCAGCAGATCTCAGTTTACTGCTTCACTGACCTGCTCTCTGGAGAAGTCCTTATCTCTTTAGTGCAGTATCTCCTCACAGAGTGCCACCATTAGGAGAAAGTCTCCCAGGTCTGCATCTGCCCTTCCATCCTGTGCTCCTCCTACCTGCACCTAAGGTGAGCAATGGCGCCAGTTCTTCTCCCAATCTTTGCATTTTAATCTCCCCCTTTTCTTGTCAGTAGTCTTTCCTGAACCCTGCCTGGCCACTTCCATTTGACATTTAAACATTCTGGGGTCTTGTCTGTCTCAGTCTCCAGGACTTCAGACTCCCCTCCAAACACCACTAATAGCTTTTCTTGTGCAGAGACTCATTTCTCCAGTTAACTGCTCACATCCATAGCCTCTGTTCATGCCCAGAGAACTCACATAGGAATGGGCCGAAGCTCTGCTGTTTTTCATCCATGAACCATTTCACTCACTCAATGAATTTTATATGCTCCTTGATACGTATGTATATAAAATAAGTTCGTAAGTCAAACATTTACTGATGCTCACTCAAAAGCTTTTATTTTTCAAGAATTCTTCAGTATACATGAAATTTATCACTTATTAAATATCAAAGCAAATCTAAACACTACGTTGATTGGATTTTGTCAATTTGACCCAAACCCAGACAATTGTGAGAAGAGGGGAACTCAGTTGAGACAAACACCTCATAAGAACTGCCTGCAGGCAGGTTGTGGGGATGCATCTTCTTGATTCCTGATTGATGTGGGTGGGCCCAGTGCGCTGTGGGTGGTGCCACACCTGGACAGATGGTGCTATGTTGTATAAGAATGCAAGCTGAGCAAGCCATGGGAAGCAAGCCAGCAAGCAGCACCCCTCCATGGCCTCTGCATCAGCTCTGGCCTCCAGGATCCTGCCCTGCTTGAATGCTTGCCCTGACTTCCCTGAGTGACAGCGTGTTACCTGGAAGTGTGAGCTGAAGCAAACCTTTTCTTCCCCAAGTTTCTCTTGGGCATGGTGTTCATTACAGCAGCAGAAACCCTCAAGTTCACACTAATGAGAGAGATGTGTTTGTTTCTGCATCCAGACCTAAGTCATGGCTGCATACTTGATGCTGTAGAGTACAGGACATCATCCTTTCGGTTGGTAGTTACTTTGATTTTGTGGTCTCCAATGCTGAGAGTGCCTCCTCCCATAAATACGTAATAAAAAGTTGCAAAAGGATGTTTAGAGCCACTTCAGAAATTGCTCTGTCTTAAGTCCAACCCAGAATACATTTAGTGAGTTTGTCAAACGAAACTTACCTGGAACTGGTGGCACCTGAAACTTGGCAGTTGTTTTCTTGAGTGTTCAAATGGCAGGTGCCAGGATATTTGTTGTTGCTGCTGTTGATTTCAATAGAGTAGAGTTTACAAGCCCGGAGACATTTCTGAAGCTGAGATTCCGAGAAGATGGCAGAGCAGAGGCCACATCTGTGAGGTGTGTAGATGTCTATGGAAGCCAAAGGACAAATTAGGGTGTCCATTCCTCAGGAGCAACACACTTAGTTTTGGTTTTGGTTTGTTTTTGGCATTTATTTATTTATTTATTTTTTGCTTTTTGAGACAGGGTCTCCCACTTGGCCTAAAATTTGCTGATTAGGGTATCTAGACATTAAACCCTAGACATCCACATATCTCTGTCTCCCCTATGTTAGATTTTTAAGTACATGCCATTTGACTCAGCATTGGTTCTGTGGATCAAACACAAGTATTTTATGGTTGCATGACCAGCATTAGACTGAATGAGCTAAGTGTCAGGTAACTTCTAATTTTATTTTCAGTTTTTACATGCACATAAAACTGTCATTTAAAATTTTTAATTTTAAAATCTTTTTGCACGACTATTATATTTGCATCATTTCCACTCCACTCCCCCTTCTTCATCTCTTCTCATTACCACTCCCCTTCTCAAGGTCATGGCCAATTCTTTATCACACACACACACACACACACACACACACACACACACACATTTACTGAGTCCATTAGTGCTTCTGGGATGTACATGTGTTTAGGGTGGACAACTTGGGATTGGACAACCTATCAGAGTGCTTGTCTCTGGAGAAGACTGATTCTGTCTCTCTTCACAACCATTGATCGTATGTAGTTCTTCATCTGCTCGTGGCACTTAGGAAATTTCCCCCATTCTTGTTGGCTTGTTAAGCAATACTGCCATTATGAAGGTCTTGTGGAAGCAACCACATTAAGAGTTCTTGGGTGTATTTTCTCTGGTCCTGTCTAAAAGACACTATCTTACTGCAAGCATTGTGGTCCTTTGGTTCTTAGAATTGTTCTTGCCCCTGTTGCATGATGTTCCCTTGCAGCACGCCGCTCCCGCCAGCAGAAGAGACGACCGCAACAGGATTCTTCTCAGAACACACTTTATTGGAGCACTTACACTTGAGGTTGTAGAGAGGCAAAAGACCCCGTCCCCGTGAAGCAGAAGAATATATACGGTGCCAGACAAAGCCCTGACGTGTCATCAACCCAATGGCTCAGGCCAGAATGGAGTGATCGTGCTTAAATTATGATTGGCCAGATCGGATGGCCAGATCGAAATACTCCCCGCGTTGGGGGGGGGGGGGCCTCGCCCGCGCATGCGCTGTGTGCGCGCATGCGCACAAGTTGTCTGTCAAGTTGCGCACAAGCTGTCAAGTTTGACGTGGAACAGCAAATGGCGCCCAGGCTCCGTGCCCCTGACATGACAGCGCCATGGTGCGCGCTACATCTCCGCACGCTACATTCCCTGAGCTTTAGCTGTAAGGGTTGTATTGTAGATGCACCAGTTGGGACTGGGCAGACCACGCACTTATTCTCCATGTTTTGACCAGATGTAGATCTCCACACTATACATCTGCTGCAAAAAGGAGCTCCTTTTATGAGGGGTAAGAGCCGTGCCTGTCTGTGGGTGTAAGGTGGGAGTGTCTAGAATATGGTTAAAAATTATATTGGCTTAGGAAAATGTCAGGGGGAGGTTCTGCTCTAGGGTTTATGTCCTCTCCAGTCACGGCAAGTTGGCTAGGTTTATTGTACCACACATGAATTTTTACCTATGGAGAAGAATTTAAGTCCAATTAGAGGGATGTTGGTTACCCCTCAAAATAAAAGAGCCACTATTGCACTTTTGGGGATGTCTTTCCAGGGTGGTCATTGTCGTCGTTAGACTTTAAATCTTGGTAGGACTGTTGATTGCTCTTGTCCTTTGGCAGCTTGCATAGCGACTTCAGCTACTATGAGAGCTGGTCCTCAGGGAGGAGGCTTCCAGGTCAGTTCCAGCTCAGTCACTCCAATCCTGTGTTCAATGTGTATGGTGTCTTCAGCAACAGGGTCTCTCCTTTGAGTTCTGGGAAGCAGCCAAAGGCAATGGCAATAACCATATTGTTTAGGAAATCTCTTGGTCCATCCCCTGGCCAATAACTCAAGGAATTTCCCATGACTAGCACCAGGGTTTGTTATAGATGATGATGATGATGATGATGATGATGATGTGTGTGTGTGTGTGTGTGTGTGTGTATGCGTGCATTATCATCCCATGTGCCATAACTCCACCCAACAGATAGAGAATACAAATTCTTTTTAGTGGAGCATTGAGTGCTCAATAAATTTTGCCACATCATAGGCCACAAAATATCTTTAAAAAATGTTAAGTCCCTGCATCTTATCAGGCCACAGTGAGATAAAGTAGAAGCCAGTGATGGTACTAAAACCAGGTAACACAAATACTGAGAGACCGAACAATTCACTTTAGAAAAAATGGTGACTATGGAGAAGATCAGAGGAGAAATTAGAAATCTCCTAGAATCAAATGAGCACATGAGCCTAATCCATCAGAACCTCTGGGTCCTGCCATGACAGTCCAAAGAGCAAGATTTATAGCTATACATGCTTTTATTAAAAAAAATATCCAAGTGATCTCAAATAGCCTAGTGATGACTTCAATAGCCTAAGAAAACAATAAGAAGCCAAATATGAATTCAGCAGACAGAAGGAAGTCATAAAGATTAGGGCTAAATTAGCAATGGGGAATTAAAGAACAATACATTGAGTTAATTAAACATAGAGTTTGAAAATACCAACAATATTAACAATACCCTAGCCAAACTTATCAACAATCAACAGACTTAACAACATATCAACAATTCCCTAGTGCAGGGGACCAGCCTGAGCAGAGAAGTGGGTATCGAATCTGGGATGTCTGGAAGGCAAAGCAAGTACACGAACACAGGGTTCTGATGCCAGCTAAAAGGCCATCAGCTGCAGGGCAAGTTCTTCTTCTTCTTCTTCTTCTTCTTCTTCTTCTTCTTCTTCTTCTTCTTCTTCTTCTTCTTCTTCTTCTTCTTCTTCTTCCTTCTCCTCCTCCTCCTCCTCCTCTTCCTCCTCCTCTTCCTCCTCCTCCTCCTCCTCCTCTTCCTCCTCCTTCTTCTGCCCTGGGCTTCAAACCTCAGTCTTTTCTTGTAAATTTTACACAAGGAAAATGATTCTTTTTTTCTTGCCACAGGTTAATCATTACATGGGCAAAGCAGTTCCCAAGAAGTATAATTTCTTTGAAATCAGAACATCATCATTCATTATGACATTTTCCCAGTTCCCAAGCCCCATGCCAGCCACTATATTCTTAACTCTTAGCTGAGTTAATTATAAAACAACTTCTGAGGCTTTCACCTTAGAGGCTAACTACAGAAGGAGGACACTTAAAAGAAATCCCACACTAGCTCAGAACTGAGAATAGTAGAGGGTTATTTATGTAGGGGTAGACTCACAGATCACAATCCTCTGCTGGAACGGGGAACAGCAACCAAATCCTGTGGCTGGAAAAGAAGCTGAACACATGCTTTACATCACCACAAATAGTATAAGAGGCCATGCCCAAGTAGGCAGATAACTTAAAGGCTACTGGTGTTAGGAATTCCTACAGCAAACTACCTATGGTTACAGAAGCATAGTTCAGTGGGTTTTACTCCATTGTTGTACCTTTCCCATTGTTGTTCCTCACAATTCCAATTTTGATTTATAAGACCATAGGCACTCAGCCCTAAAGCCCTAGGCTCTTCAGAAACTTTATTCATCACAGCCAAGTTCCTTTCTGTTTCAGTATAATTCTTTTGCCAAGTTTTATAATCAGGCAAAGAACAACTGCATTTTCCCCAATTCTTTCATCAGTCAGGTTTTTTCCCCATAACCTACTTTACAGCTTTAATGCCTGCCCACTCTATCAGCTCAGGAAGACTCACATTATCGTACAGCACATCCATATTTTCAGAAGCCACTGGTGTGGAAGGAGAAAAAGAACATGAAGAACAAGTAGACTAATAGAACTGCTATAACCAGAATCATCTGTAACATTGCCAAATGCATATGCAGACGCCATAGAAGGGGTCCTCGGGGCACTTAGGTATTTTCTCCTTAACCCTCAAGTAACATGCTCACCTAGCTGCCACTGGGTTGCCTGGAGGGAATTGCTTCCTGCATCTCAGGAACTGCACATGGAAGGGGCTATCTATGCTTTGCCCTCTATGGCACTCTAGCCAAAAGAAAGAGAAGTCCCAGATTAATAAAATGAAAGATTAAAAGGAAAGTGCTTCATTAGACTCCAATCAAGTCTCAAAGATTATTAGGGAATACTTTCAAAACTCTATTTTAACAAGTTGGAATCCTCAAAGAATTGGATACATTTCTAAATGCATATGGACTGCCAGAATTAAAGCCCAACAATACCGACAGTTTACACAAACCCCTAACAAGCACCAAGACCAAAGCAGTTGTGCAAAGTTCTCCAGAAAGAGCCCAGGGCAGGAGGGAGTCTCAAACATGCCAACCTGTTAAGGGACACCTACTATTGTCTCACAAAAGTAGAAAGCAAAAAAATAGTACTTAATTCATTGTAGGAAGCTAGCATTATCCAGAAAACAAAACTGAATCAAGGCACAACAAGAAAGAAAACTAGAGACCAAATTTTCTGATAAACATGGATATAAAAGTTCTCTAAATAAATAAATAAATACCACATTGAAATGATGCTGCTTCAACACAGAGTTAGTTTCATTCAAGGTGCAAGCCTGATTCGTCATATTCAAACCACTGAACATGCCCCACCATCCTAAGAGACTTGAGGATAGAAATCCATGATGATCTCAAGAGGTGCAGAAAAGTCATTAAGTTCAGCATCTAATCACAATGAAGGCCCTGAAGAAACCAGGAACAAATGGAGCAGACCTCGGCACGGTAAAGTCTGTATATGACAAAACCTATAGTCAACCAGGTGGGGGGAGACGGAAAGCACTCCTTCTAAAATCTGAAGTGAAACAAGAGCAAACAGTCTGTCCACTCTTAGTCAGTACAGTGCCCACATTCTTAGCTAGAGCAATAAGACCAGAGACATACATGAAAGAGGCAGAAATTAGAAGTGAAAAACTGAAACTATCTCTACTTGCAGACAGCATGATTCTACCATATACTTAAACAACCTCGCAAAATCCACAATAAATGTTTTACTTCTGATAAACACTTTCAGAAAAATTGTAGGACCAAAG